TAGACGTAACGAACTGTCTAACTTATACTATCAATTAGACCCAGACATCATTCTGTTAAACAGTACTGGCATAAAGAACGAAAGCTGAAAATTTTTGGCTACACTGTATACCAGAGGAACATGACGGGTGAGATGAACAATGGTGTCGCTGTGGCCATCAGGTCACGGCTGAGTCACAGAGTGTTGCCAGACTTCGAGGATTCAGTTCTGGGAGTGCAGGTGGAGACAACTTGGGGACCTGCTATCATATGCACAATGTACCTACCTCCCAGACGTCCTTACTTACCCGAACAAGACCTAAACCAGTTGCTACGCCACAGAAAACCAACATACATCATAGGGGACTTAAATGCGTGCCACGCCATACTAGGACACGGTAATGAGAACAACGTCGGTGTGGCGCTGTATGACAACATCAGAAGGGGAAAACTGCAACACCTCGGCCCAGATTTCCCGACATTGATAAGACGTGACAGTGCCACAACACCCGACATAATCCTCTCTAACAACGAGGCCGTCCTGAACAGGCACGTTACCGCCGGACCCATCAGTACCAGTCGTCGTGACGCTCTCATCCAATCCAATTATGATCCCTTCCAACATATGGTCAAACCTCAAGCGGGCAGACTGGGACTCCTCCAAGGAATCTCTCAGTCTCAAGCGGGGGAGAAACCTGGAAGAAGCCAGCCCCAATGACATCGACGACGTGGTAGAACAATGATACACGGATGTGAAGACGGAAATGAACAACAACATCCCGACCACCACTCATAGGACCATTCCCCTTTCTCACACAAGTCACCAGCTGAGGCAGCTCAGTGTCCAGTACGATCACGTGAGACAGCTAGCCAGTATCCGCGGGTGGACGCATGAGCTGAGAGACCGGTACCGAGAGTTACGGACTGACATCCAGCACGAGAGCAAACGTCTACAGCTACAAAAGTGGGCCGCCTTGGTGTGGGAGGCAGCCAAATTACCGCCATTCTGCTACATTCTGGAAAGGGATCAAGCGACTGATGGGTTCCACCTCTAGCACGGTCCCTTACCTGCTCGACCAAAACAATGTGAAAATATTCGAGGAGGAAAACCAAGAACAATTACAACGGCGATATTTACGGAAGATCTTTACCATTAGTGAACAGGAGAACGAGGGCTTCGACAGGGAGTTTGAAGAGGACATTTTAAGTCAGTTGCAGGACCATCAGCACCTGCTCCAGCCGCTCCCACGGACTGACTTCACTAGACTGGTGGACGGAAGCTACCTGACGGAGCGAATAGTTCCTGCAGATGTGTCAGCCGTCATAAAAGGGTTTAAAAACAAGTTACCTGGGCAAAGCCATATTAACAAGAAGAATCTGGCTCAACTCCCCGACAACATGATAGAGAGGCTTGCTCATATATGCAACGCCTGCCTCGCCTCTGGATACGTCCCTAAGATGTTCAAAATCGCCGTTATTCGCCTCATACCAAAAGCAGGGAAGCCTCCAAACAAAGTCGAAAACTTTCGACCAATATCGCTGCTAGAGGTACCTGCCAAAATCTTCGAAAAAATAGTAAACAAGCTGTTGCAGAAGTATCTGGAGGACGAAGACGTGCATAATCCCCGCCAGGTCGGCTTCCGCCAGTACCGAGGAACATCCACCGCCATAGCCCAGGCCTACAAGCAGATCGCCAATGCCATGAGTGGCCGCCTGCAGTGCAACATAGTACTAAGGGACGTTAGCAAGGCGTTTGACAAAGTTTGGCATGCGGAGCTGCAGTATAAGATCATACAACTGGGGCAACCCGAAAACCGACGAGCCTGCTGTGCAACTTCATTACGGACCGCAGAGCCAAAATTAAGATGCAAGAACATTTTGGAGAAGAATTCTCACTCTCGAGCGGGGTGCCTCAGGGCTCTTGTCTTTCACCAACCCTTTACACGCTCTAAACCGCTGACCTGCCACCCCCAATCGTCGGCAGCGAGTACATGTATGCCGACGATGTAACACAGATCGTCACCTGCCCAGGAAGGTCCTCGGCAAGGATGGCGCGACTCACTGCTCGGGCAATAGAGGATATCTCAGAGTATGAAAATAAATGGAAAATAAAAACAAACAAAAAGAAATTCGAGGTCATACCCATAGCCAAATTCAAGCCGGCGCCATTGATGATCGACAACGAAGAGATTGAGTACTCTAAACAAGGCAGGCTGCTCGGCCTCATCATCTCTCGGACGGGCATCATTTCCCACGTGAAGGGCAGACTAAATAAAGCCAAAGTCGCCGCAGCCAAATTAAAACGTTTTAAACTGATGCCTGAGAAGATACAAATTCACTTGTACAAGGCGCTGGTGAAACCTGTGTTGGAGTACCCACATATACCACTCGTCACACTCGGGAAGACGAGACTACAACAACTACAGAGCTTCCAAAACAAGTGTTTGAGGTCAGCCAGTGGTCAAGCGCCACCCTACCAGGAGACAGTGGAAACCATCCACCTAAGAAATAAAACGGAGGCCCTCACCGTCAGGTTCCATCGCCTAGGGAAGAAGGTTTGGGACAAGCTCCTGGACGACCCTCACAGCCCAGACCACCTACGTGGGGAAGACATCAACGGAGGGCGACCCCACGCATGGTGGCCCATCTTTGTCCGCCACAGTGATCCGCCTTAGATTAAAACTTAGATGATATAAGTTCACATTTAACAAGTCACAATCTAGTGAGTCCATAACGTAATACAGTATAAGATTTTAATAAACTTGTAGTTGTAAAATCAATCTAGTCATTGTCTACTAAAGTAACCATTGTGCAACCTCATTCTAAATCCTAGGTTAGCTTAGTTAGCCAACAAACTCTGTAATATGTAAAACAAGGGGTGTCGTCCCCCTCTGTTTAACTCATTAAACTTCTTTTCCAACCTTTCCCCCCACGACTATATGTTGTGACCTCTCCATCCCTCATGTCTGGCTGTGCCTTGAGCCCCAGCATGCTTTCCATCCATTCCCCACTTTAACCTAAAAAAAAAAATTCAGATGAACAACGTTGATATAGAGAAATACAACTGTGAGAATGATTTAGGGGTAATGATAAGTAGGAATCTTGAGCCAAGATAACAATGTGTATTTACTCGATACAAGGCTATCAAAGTACTCGAATTCATACAAAGGAGTGTTAGTTATAAAACTTGCAAGATTATCCTAAAACTATATCTTGCGCTTGTGAGGTCTCACTAAGATTATGCAATTCAGTTTTGGTCACCATACTATAGAATGGATATCGAATCCCTAGAAAGCATACATAAGAAATCCACACAGCTATGTCAACGATGTCAGTGTCATTGGCTTTTATGAGAAAATTTGTACTGCCTCCAATACAGCTTGTCTTGCATGTACAAAGAGGCGAGTATCTGTCTATTTGTGGGATCATGAAGTCAACTCTTCTAGAGGCGTATCATGTTTGCTAATGGCATCTTCTCCCATTATCACAATAATTGTGCATGGTGTAACAATTTCACACATCTTGTCTGCAAGGAAGTGAAAAAGTTCAGTCTTGTTATTGTCATCTCTTAGAAAGCTTCTCCAATTTATTGGAGCTTTGCTATTTTTTTTTGTCTCCCTTCGTCTGATACTCTAACCTCGTTTTGACCTGGTTTCAGCCTTTACACCTTTCCTTTTATAGACAACAAACACAACATCACTGTCAACTACAGAGGTAGTTGTTCTTTTTGGGGTCTTTGCAACATTGTGTTGTTAAACCTAAGTCTACAGCTCTCGTGATATTTTTCATTATTTTTCCTCAGTCTCTGCTTTTCATATCAAGCCTTATTAGAAGGGCATTGACTGAGTTGAAAAGAGGAATGTTCTTGGCTAATTTGCTGTAGCCATTTTCCTATCTTCTAGTAAGGTTAGTCTTTGGAAATTTAAGTTCTTCCTTCTTATCATCTTAACATAGACAGCACTTGGCCCAGTTTGTTTTCATTTCATATTATTTTTAGGACCAATATTTATCGCCATTGTGGTACAGAGCCGAGGGTTTATCCTTTTACTACTATGTTTCATATGTACTTTCCTGTATGGGATACAACTATGTTCAAGCAATTACTTGTCCTACACCTAACCCGATCGTTCATTTAAGTCCCGTGCGATCCCATTATCCTTGGCTCGGCTTTCCCGCGCTGGCACATCCTGTCAATTCAGAAGCGGCTACCTAACTTTATTTGGGGCTGTTTAGCTAACATTTGGAACACTAAGTACTTATATACAAATGAATCTTTACAATGAGTTATGTACTTAGATGACACTGAGCCCCATGTTGAGTGTTGTCACCAGTGTGTCTTGGCTGTACGTTGACATTCACTCTTTATAAGCATGTTTCCTTTGAATGTCATCCATTTCAGAGTTTTCGGCACAAAACTCACTCTATACACTGAAAAACAGGGAAATCAACAATGAAATCACCTGAATTGATGAACACAATAATTTCTATGCCCAAAAGGAAAATCTGAGTTCCACATTTAGCGGCCATCTTGGAAAATAGCTGCCATCTTGGAATTTTGAATGTCCGATCAGATAGATTTGATAATTAACCCATATTGATTTTATTTTGCCAATTTTCATACTTGTGTCACCATTTGCAAAATTCTTCAAAAATCCACCTACCACAACCATCCTTCCTGCAGTACAACTATCACACGATACATTTATTACTCACTTATCCTATCTCAACAACACATGTCTTCTTGTGAAGTAGTGAGCAAAATATGTCTGAAGTGTTGATTAGCAATAGTCGTAATCATAAGATTATTTTCAGAGTGTTTTCTGTATTTTGTGTAGCATTTGCCTATTTCTTAACTTAGTTACCTGTGTTAAATATTGCCATTGTTTGTAAAGCATAAGTATCATTTTGTTTGTAGCTGATAAAATTTTTTCTTGATGTGACCGTGATACTCTGTCTGTCAGTGGATTATTACGTTACCGGTACTCGGGTATTTAGGTAATCACTACTCGGTAATATGTACAGTACTTTAAATAATCTTTATTTTGACCAGTATCAACTCAGTATACAAGACAACCCATAATAATCAATGACCAATCTCACTTGATTCACACGACTTGTGAGTAGCAACATGGGGTCTCCTGGGCTTAGGGAGATATTCTTCCACAACCTTTATAGGGTCATAATACTGTACTCGAGGCGCACTTGGTGTGATGTGATGTAAACAGTTCACAGTTGTATTGGATGGTTGATTTTAATGTTCAGTTTTCACACGACCCTCAGCCAAAAAATCACCTGAGGAAACCTTGCTTGAATCCCAGGAAACCAACTTTAGGGTTTGAAAGTTTCGTGAGACTCTTCTTGAGAAATTCATTTATAAGCGGGGCTCCTTCTCCCACCTTTGGCTTTTCATAGTCTCCACCAAAGTAAGCATGAACTTTGGCTGGCACAAGATGTTTAGTGTCATCCGTCTTCAGACACATTATTTCAAACACCTCCGTAACGTGTGTCATTGTATCCCCTTCCTTCCATTGGATTTTGTTCTCCCGTTTCACTTGAAGCAGCTTCAAGAAGGAATTCTTGAAGCAGAATCCTGCAGGAATAGGGATACTCCAGTAGCGAGAGTCCCACCAAGAAAATTGGTTCTTCACGTCTCTGGGCATCCAGAGTTCAGCCTTCATGTAGGAGAGGAGCGTCTTGCCGGTGAGAAACACTTGGCGTTCCTGAGGAGCCAACTTCTTCACCACCTCCACCTCAGTCGCGGCGAAGCTGCAGCGCCATTTTGCATCTCCGGTGTTACTGAGGTGGATCATCTGTGAGTCGACGGGTGTGAGGGGTGGTCTCATTATCTCCTTAGGCCAAGGTACAGATAGTACTGGAACTAAGTCAATGTCAACCAACAACAAGGGATACTCACTTCCCTGCCAAGCCAGTGACAGTGCCAGGCCCACCTGCGTCCTGGTCACACCAGGTGGCACGAGGCTCAATCTGTCGTCCTGCAGTACGTAACTATTAAGGCTTTCTCTTACTCGGTCATACAGGTTACTCATCAACCTATTACCCTGAAGGCTCGGGTTTTCTGTTTCAATTTCAATTTTTAACTTGTGGCCGCTTAACAACACATCCTTCTTTGTTTGTTTAATAATTCTAACAGTGACGTCAGAGAAGCTCTTGAGTGTTAGATTAAAATCAAACTCATCAGGATAATAGAGCCTTGTGGAGTCTGCAGTGCTCCCAAGCAGCGTGAGTGTACCAGTGTACGTACTGTCAATATCTGCAACTTTGTCTGTAATTGCCGTCATTTCTTTTGTTATGACTTCTTTTACTTCTTGTGCCTCACCTTTAGTGTAATCAACAGTCACTTTCTGTGCATTTTTCACCAAGTTTCTAATCTCAGTCCGTTTGAGAAGGTTTATGGTGGCATCTGTCGGGTTGTTGTCTATGTGTTCTTGATTTGATTCACATCTGTTATACATCTTTAGGTACTTTGAGAAGTTGTTTTTGACATCTGTTGGAGTAGTTCCAGCTCTACAGGAAGGCTCTTGTTGATCTAGACACTCTCTAAACAGCTCAAAGGCCTTTTGGTGGCCAAACATGGCAGCCAAATGTGGACCTGTTTGCCTGTATCGATCTTCGAGTAGCGGGTCAGCGCCAAGACTCAGAAGGAGGAGGACACAACCAGATTTGCCATGTGAGGCAGCTTGGTGTATGGCAGTCGTGCCATTAGTAGGATCCACTTGTGTATCAATTTCCACACCTCCCACCTTCACCAGGAGGTAGATCAGCTGCAGCATCCCACCTTGAGACGCTATGAGTAGAACCTGGGCTTTGTTGAACGGCTCTTGACATATGGTTGTGGCTGTGTTCCCAGTTATCGTGTCCCAGTATGTTGTGATGAGGTTCTTCTGAACGCGGAGAAGTTTCTGCATCTGATGCTTCTCTACTTTGTCTTTGATCTTATAGTGTAGGTCTTCAAGTTGGATCCTTTCTTTGTTGTAAATATTCTGACAACAAAAATATTATTGTTACGAACTAATCGAGGATAAAGTTGCTACACTTTATAATAAAACTCTGTACCTGTGATTATTATTATTATTGTTGTTTTTGTTGTTGTGTTATTATTGTTATTATTGTTGTTTTTGTTGTTTTACTATTATTTTTAATCAATTAACATTTACTGGTTATATTTAAAATTCCAGAAAATTTGATTTGTTAATTGGAACCAGTTCATTAAACGAAACAGGAAAAAAAATTTTAACGTCAACGTGCCCTCTGCTCCATTAGTCACCCATAAAAATAAAAACACGATAGTTCTCCAGACATCAAAAAAGAATCTTTAGTTAAAACAATTATCCTGTTTTTTTACTCTGTACAAAATTATCTGAGTAAACAGAACCACACACAAACACCAAAAGAGTACCAACATAACAATAAAGAACTATCTCGATATAAATAGTGATGTCAAGCAGGGAAGTGTTCTGTTAATATTGTTGATATTATCACCTATTAGCTTTTTAACTCCTCAGTGAAATATTTTACTTATCCATTTTTGTATTCACATATTATATAGGCAGCAGGTAGTAGGCAGCTACCAAACAGGGAGGTACTACCGCCTGGGAAGATATTGGAAGTATAATATATTGTCTAATGGTAGACCCTGCTGCCATATGGCATCACAAAATTTGTGACCAAGTTCCAGGTTGCTCATTTGACTTTCTGCCACATTTACACACAGTTGCAGGGTCTCAATTGTTTCTCGTACTATTGACAGCACAACATACATAATGTATATCTTTTTAACATTCTTGATTTATTTTTTCGTTCTTGTATTTAATTATGGTTATTATTATTATTATATTTTCGCCCCCCAGGCCCTGATGTGGGTCAGTGACCTGTGCTCGGGTAAGCTAATCACCTGTAAAATATATATATATATATATACTTCATTTTTAGTCCATATAACACGCGGACTTTGAACATATAATCAACGACCTCACCAGCAAGGAATCGAACCCTCGACCTACTGGGTGGGACTAGGGAACGCTTACCGGCTAGGCCACAAGGACACTAAAAGCAGTTCTAGACTCTGCTATATTTCACACAAAGCCTGTTCATCGAGCTGATGGCGCCGTGAACCTCATTGGGAAACTGTCCGTGCCTCGTATGTGGTGTCAGTAGCATTTTACCGAATCCAGCTGGTATGAAACGCGAGGTACATATATATATATATATACTTCATTTTTAGTCCATATAACACGCGGACCTGGTGAGGTCGTTGATTATATGTTCAAAGTTACTACACTATCATCCATGAATCTATCTAGCCTCCTTTTGAAACTTTCCAGAGTTCCAGCACTTACTACAAAGTTGCTAAGCTTGTTCCACAGGTCCACCACCCTATTTGTGAACCAGTTCCTTCCTATCTCCCTCCTAAGCCTAAACTTATCCAACTTAAATCCGTTGCTCTTCTTAATTACGAAAATATCCAGTTTGTAAATACCATTACTTATATTCATGTTGACGAATTCGGTATGTTTAATGAGACTAGATTCTATACTGTTCCTATTGTCAATTGAATTACAAGGTAATATTGAGGAGGCATTATCCCAGTCAATGCAATGCTTATTATCCCTCAAATGAACAAATAGAGCATTGGATTCCTGGCCTGTCCTAACACTATATTTATGTTGTTTAAGTCTAGTTACAAGATCTTTACCTGGTGGCCTAAGTAAAACATCTGACTGACTACCGACTAACCTTATAAATGCAGCCATTGTAGGGCTTACATTGTTTAACAGTGCATGAGTTTTTAAATGCCACATTGACGTTCCAGGTTTTTAGTTGCAAAGGAATTTGAGAGAAATTTTTGTGAAATGGTAATACTAAGAGATTCTTATGGTCATGGGTGGGCTTGGGATCGGTTCTATAGAAAGATGTCTTAGTAATGTTAAGGCATTTGTCTTTGAAAGATCTTGGGTACTTAAGGTTTAAGCCAATATTATAGATATATTTATATTCCTCATCAATGAATTCCGGGCTGCAAGTTCTCAAAGCACGTAAAAACATTGATGAAAATACTGAGTGTTCGACCCTGTTATGGTGGGCAGAATAATAATGAATGTATGAACACACATTAGTAGGTTTCCTATAAATACTGAACTTAAAGGTGTTACCTATTCTGTGGATCAAACAGTCTGGGAATGGCAATTTACAGTCATGCTCTAATTCCACAGTGAATTTGATCGAGGGGGCTAAGTTATTAAGTTGTGGCAGGAAAGTTTTTAGGTCCTCATTACATGGCCAGAGACATAATACATCATCTACATATCTAAACCAGACTGCTGAGGGTGGTAAAATATTACTTAATAGTTTTTTTCAAAGAATTCCATATAAAGGTTGCGTAACACAGGTGAGAGTGGATTACCCATTGCCATACCAAATTTTTGAGCATAATATTCTCCATTGAATTCAAATTTACAATCCTTAATACATAGTTTGATGAGGTAAAGATCTTGTCTTTATATATATATATATATATATATATACATATATACATATATATATATATACATATATATATACATATATATATATATACATATATATATATATATATATATATATATATATATATATACATATATATATATATACATATATATATGTATATATACATATATATATACATATATAACCGTATTACACGTAAAGTGCCTGGGAACGTATATGTATATATATATGCACATATATATATATATATATATATATATATATATATATATATATATATATATATATATATATATATATATATATATATATATATATATATATATATATATATATATATATATATATATATAAAATGACATCTGTAGCAGTCTTACTGAGGTAACCAAATGTTTACTGATGGTTTGATCATAGACAAATACAGACCTGCTCCAGATGCTGGCGGAGGCGTGAAGGCATCATGGTTGTGGGCAGTCGACCTCCAAAGTCAGCAACATACAGGCAACCTCCCATGTTCTTGATCATTTGCCTTGCCAGGTTCCAGTGACCAACCTCCAGCGCAGCGTGCAGAGGACTCACACCGGACTTGGTACACAGGGAGGCGTGACCACCAGCTTCGTGGATGAAGCTGCATGTCAAAGTACACTTGGTACGAACAGCCTGGACCATGAGCTCTGTCAGGTGGAAGACTGACCCGCCATTGGGCCAGCTGGCTTGCCAAAAGTTGTCACATCTCATGGTTAATATGAGTTGACCAACACCTTCTTCAACTTCTGGGAAGTGTGTCAGGTTGGTACGTTCCCACTTCAGAACATGAATGAAGGCCTGAAGATACATAACACATTGATAGTTTATTCTAAAGTGTATGTTGATTTTTATCAATGAGTCAAAGTACACTCGTAAACCATATTCTTCAGCCCACCTGGGTCGGTGCTGGAGGTTAGTACAATGTTCTTTCTGTACGGGGGCCCACTCTAGCTATCACGAGGCAACACACACACGAACACAGACAGTCGTAGTACGGCTGTATACAGTAGATGATATTATGTATAAATATTGTATATGGCATTTTATACTCTGCATTATCTTCATTATATATGAACATGAAGAAAAATTACCATAGGTTGTAGTTACGAAAGTATGAATGGAAATAAACACTTCCAAACCACCCAGTGACTCCACACAACGTGTGTGTGTGTGAGTGCCAGGCCACGATGCTTCCACCACACCCCATCATTCGCGTAACTATATGCGTGATGCGTTGCCTGACTTGGGGTGGCTTGAGCGAACCATACACTTGATATTACAATTTACGTATCCTTCCTGTCCATGATTTACAACAATAACTGTAGGTAAAAAGTTACAATATTATTCTAATAACACTGTCATGCATTGATACTATGACTAGTTACCAAGATACAGAGCACGATGAACATAACATGATAATGATAGTGAAGCCTGGAAGGGTTCATATCATAACGTGTGTGTTCGTGCGTATGTTGCCCCATGAGAATTACCGTGGGCCTCCATGTGCCCAGGTGAGATGGTCAAAGTATTACACTATAAGTGTGTCAAATGAGGAGTGACTGATCTACATGTAATTTAATGTTTTTGAAATATGTAGTTAAATTAAACACGATATTTCATATAGTTACCCGAATGATGGGTTGTGGTGGAAGCATCGTGGTCTGGCACACACACAAACGTTGTGTGGACTCACTGGGTGGTTTGGAAGTGTTTATTTCCATTCATACTTTTGTAGCTACAACCTATGGTAATTTTTCTTCGTGTTCATATATAATGAAGATAATGAAGAGCATAAAATGCCATATACAATATTTATACATAATGTTATCTATACAGCCGTACTATGACTGTGTGTTCGTGCGTGTCTTGCCTCGTGATGGTTAGAGTGGGCCCCCGTCCAGATAGGACACTGTACTAACCTCCAGCACCGACCCAGGTGCGCTAGAAAATATGGTTTCCGACTGTACCATCTTTACATCCTACGGTTGGTGACCACAGTCTTCCACTTTAAATATTTTCGGGCTATTTTTATCAATCCTCCGAGATTTTTCGCCTCTCTGGGCACCCAGTTTTTAATTTCATTCATCCATCCTAGTCCTTCCTCTCCCTTGTGCTCCCCTACCCTCAACTTTGCCCAACTTTGCTTTTATCCTTTCATCCCTGATCATATGACAATATCATCTAGTTTTCCTTATTCTGTAAATTTCAAATATTTCTTTTAAGGCTTTGCCAGTCTTAGTACTTCCTGTCAGTGTAACTTATTTGTTACATTCGCCTGTAACACCATATTTCAAAGGGCTCCAACCTCTTTCTGGTATCTGATGAAAGTGTCCACGCTTCTGATTCATACAACAGTCCTAACAATATTCGAGTACAGTATATAGCATTTTAGTAACCTCTTTCACAAATTAAAGTTGATGTCCTTTTTTATTGGAACGTTTAGATTTTAAAATATTGTTTTTGTATGAACTATTTAAAGGGTTCCCCTAGATCAAGAAGACATAAGAGATTATTTTAATATCAAGTCGGGAACTAATCACGCAACATTAACGTAAGTTTAGCTAAATATAGACGAGTATTATTCATAAAGTATAGAAGCACCCACAATCCGCAGCCGAGTGAAATGTGAGGGAATATGCACTTGTCAAAACAAGTGATTACACCAACGTAACTTGACTCCCCAGTCCGACCACACCCAAATTCTATAATTATAAAGACCTTGGCCACACCAAGGCACTCAGGGTATAGCCACACTAACCGAGTCGTAATCCTGTGCTTCGTTTCTTCTTGTCGTCGAAGAAACGAAGTATGTTAAGGCCAAAATGTACGCTAGTGTGGTCGCATCCTTACACCACTTGTAGGCCTACATAGCAACGTCTCTGAGTTTGATTTAAATTGTCAAGTTTGTTTTTTAGATGCAGCTCATGTCCGTGGCTACATTATCCTCTACTTTACAGCTACTTCACAATCTGCAATACATTCATTACGCTATCTATACTATTATCTACATTACATCATGTACATTTCATTAACTACACTCTCAAGTGCACTACTTCAAATGCATTTTCATCTATACTACATCATTGTAATCACTTACCCTTATAATGATGACCTGGACAGGAGGAGTGACATCGGGGGAGAGCCAGGCAAGCGTCAGCAGGTTGAGGCCGTTGCAGGTGGTGGTGAGAGGCGCCCCTGCCGCCAGCAGGAGGCTGACCATTTCGCGCCGGTTACTGGTAATGGCCAGAGGGAGGGGCTGGGTGGAAGAGCCGCTCGGAGACTCCAAGGGCGCTCCTGCATACAGCAGACGACCCCCCTGTTCGAAGTCGTCACTTTGGGTAATGAGAGACAACAGCTGGTCGTACAGCTCTTCGGGTGACCCTTGAAGCTGTGTAAGACAAATTCTATACTGGTGCTGATCGGGATATATTTGTGTTTGCAGACGGGCCACATTTGATTATATTAAATAGGGATAATTTTCTCGATTCAGGATTTTACCTAAAGGATGAAAGCTTTATATCCGTTTCCTCTATTCGGGAAATGAAGACAGCAAGTAAGACAGAGTATGATTTAGCATACAAACTAAGCGAAATGCATTTAAATGTATAGGGTCAGCAACGACAGCGGGTTAAATATGCAGTCCAATTGTTGTCAAAAACAAGCTCAAGCTCACTGAAATATCTTGGAGAAAGAGGACGACTGGAGAGTAGAAATTGGAAGGAAATTCCCGACTTCATAAATCTGGTGGACGACTGGTTTGACATTATGAATTCTTCTCATAAATTTGGTGAAAAACAATCACTTACTGCATTTGGAATTAATCTATGTGACCAAGTAAATGTTCTGCATAGAATGATTGACGTGGTGACAACAATGAGACTAAGAAACCCGCTGTTGAAAGGCCTTTACAAGTTTCAGAAAGGGGTAATATTATCATCTCGGTCACTTATAGGGTTGTACAAAATGCTCCAGAAGTCTTTTAATCTTGAATTCATTCTTACTATAAAACTAAAGCAAGATTGTCTGGAGCATTTGTCTGAGTGGATAAGGCAGATGTATGGAACCTACGACCATCCAAATGCTGTGTATTTTAAGTTCAGGCTCTAGAAGTTACTCCCTGGAAAAGACGTTTCACTAATTTCTGAGAAATCTAACGCAACTAATGATAATTCTGACTGCTTGTCAAGAAATATTGGTCTTTGACAAACAAATTATAAAAGTACATCTTTCAATAACAAAGAGCTGGCAGTAAAACTCTATGTAACTAATCAATGTTGTAAAGACTTGGTTATTGGCAATGAAGTAGAAAAGAGTTAAGTGATGAGTTTAATGAAAACCCAGGAGGGTGTATAAACCCTGACAAAAATGACGGAAAGCAATAGATTTAGTCATAGAAGAGGAAGCTCTTAGGTACGTTGGTGGCTATATTGTAAGAAGGTTTTGTGGGAAATACCCTCACTTAGGCCAGAAAGTCACTGAGTGTAGTAGCCAAGACAACTATCTGTGCAGGTGGGGGTCGATATGTTCCGAAATTTTACGTGTGACGAGTGACAGCCCTTATATACCAAAATTTATCGTCCATGTTCTCATATTGTTTCCCATAAAGTATGCACAGATAGTTGTTTAAGCTACCGTACATCCATGACCAAAACATGGACAGAAGAAATAAACAGGTGAACTGTATGTTCCTTCTGACACTCTATTAACCATTATGAGAGACGTATTTCAGGCTGTACATTGGAACAGTCTTATGTAGGGGAAAGTATGTTTCAAAACAATGGTGTCTGAGATAGAGAGTTGATGTACCCCGTGATGTTTTATCCTTCCTTGCCAAAATATGTGTTCCTTAGAATTCGGAAACTGAACAGTAGTATTAGGATAGATAGGAAAACAAGTAAAAATTACAGAAGTGAAAATAGAAAAAAAATATGAAAATATCAAAATGAAAAACAGATTGTCTTGGGTCACAGTTGATGTAAATCATATATGTTATTTATTTATAACCTACAGTATGTGTGTAAATAACATAAGTTATCATGATATATTTATTCCTCTTTTAGATGCTTACACACTAATACGGAAACATTTCAGAGGAGGCAGTTATGAACTCAAGTGCACAGATAAATTATAGCAAATAGCATCCGATCGCATTTAGAAAAAAAAATAATCTACGACTCTCAACATGGATTTACAATGGGAAAATCTTGTCTAACAAATCTGCTGACGTTTTTAGAAAAGACGATGACGAAAATTACGATGTTATTTACTTAAGACTTTAAGAAAGCATTTGACAGAGTACTGCATCAGAGGCTTCTGAAAAAGGTTAAGGCTCATGGTATCGAGAGGAAAGTTTTAAATTGGATAAAATAATGGCTACCGATAGAACACAGAAGATCAGCGAAGATGGTTTTATATATGAGTGGGGCCGTGTAACTAGTGGGGCTCCCCAGGGGTCAGTATTGGGCCCACTCTTGTTCATAATCTACATAACCGATCTAGATAATGGGATCAGCAGTGACATAAGCAAGTTTGCTGATGACGTCAAAATAGGGCGGCAGATTAATTCCGGGCAGGATGCAAATGCACGACAGAAAAATTTAAATAAACTGCAGGAGTGGTCAGAAAATGGCAATTGAAATTCAACGCCAGCAAGTGCAACGTACTTAATATTGGTAGAACAAATACTGTCAATGTATACAGCCTTAACATCAACTTAGAGTAGTCGACTTGTGAGAGAGACTTAGGGGTACTTGTAAGCCCGGACCTTCGAACCTAGAAAACAGTGCGTTAATGTTCGAAATAAGGCAAACAGAGTATTAGGATTTATATCTAGAAGTGTAGGTGATGAGTGTGGAGGCCATATTGCAATTATATCTTGCACTAGTCAGGCCGCACCTCAATTATGCTGTTCAGTTCTGGTGCCCTTATTATAGAATGGATGTCAATTCATCGGAGTCGGTGCAGCGAAGACTGACGGAAATGACTCCGGGACTTAGAAACCTTCCATATCAAGATAGATTAAAGAAACTAAACTTGCATTCCCTAGAAATACGAAGAGTGCGGGGAGATATGATAGAAGTATTTAAGTGGGTGAAAGGAATCAATAAAGTAGCTATAGATAAAGTTCACATAATATCCAAGCAGGATAGGACTTTTTTTTTTTAATTTATTAGGCACCCCCCTACATCCTTATGTAAGGTGAAGCACAGAAGCGATTACAGCGCCTAACAGGGAATCATGCTAAGTTCATGCTTGCCTTTATGTCTCATGAACTAAGGGCGTAGAAGCCTGAAGAGTCAAGGGCGTAGAAGCCTGAAGAGTCAATGGTTTATGTCTAAGGAAGTTATTAGAAGCTCCAACAACTTGTCCCTGAATACGAAATCGCATCTTTCTATTTACAACAGGTACCTACTTTGCTGCTAGGTGAACAGGGACCAAGGGAAGCTGGGAAGTGTGTCGTAACAACTTTCCACCGGCCTTGGAATCGAACCCGTGACATCTCGCTTGCGAGACAAGAGCGGTACCGTTCTACCCACCGGCGCCCCCGATAGGACTCTTAGCAACGGATTTAAGTTGGATAAGTTTAGGTTTAGGAGGGAGTTAGGAAGAAACTGGTTTACAAATAGGGTGGTGGACGAGTGAAACAAGCTTCGCAAATTTGTAGTAAGTACTGGGACACTGGAAAGTTTTAAAAGTACTTCCAAAAACAAGATGATGGGGCATAACAAGCAAAAAACAGTCAAAAAGGAAAGGGTAAGAGTTTTTAAAATAACTGATGAGGAAAATGAAGATTTTGAAAGTGAACACGAAGAAAGGATAGAAGGTGAAATGGCAAGACACACACATAGAATCACCCCAAGGCAATATATAGACTATAACTTATCACCTAATAATCAAATAATAAATATGGGAGAAATGATGCTCTGTCTGGGGAAGTTTAAAGAAAAGGCCCCCCGGTCTCACAGGTATTACACGAAATATGATCATAAATCTACCGGAAAGCATCTTACAAACATTATTGAACATCTATAACGCATGCTTAATAACTGGTTACTTCCATAGAAACTATAATATGCTAAAATTATATTTATTCCCAAAGAGGGTAAGGACAATAAGGAAATATTAAACTACAGGTCAATATCTTTATTAGAAATTACCGGGAAACTATTGGAAAAATTAAATTCAGGACTTATAACCTTTCTAACACAACATGGGAAAACAAACAATAGACAACATGGAATTGTGTCCAATAGAAATACCCTAACTGCAATAGCTACAATAACGGAAATAATGGCAATAGAAAAAAGCAAAGGGAACCTGACCAATATAATTTTAAGGGACGTCTCTAAGGCTTTTGATAAAGTTTGGCACTTGGGCTTAAAATATAAAATGTTACAATTGTGACTTATCAAACACTTGCTAAGAATATTATGTGACTATTTAGATGATAGGAGAACACAAATTGAAATTGGAAACTTTATGGGAACTAAGGTAAATCTCGAGAGTGCAGTACCTCAAGGAGGATGCCTTTCTCCATCACTATATACAATATATACCTCAGACACCTCAACCAGCCCCCTTTCGCGAATATGTAATGTTTGCTGATGATATCACTCAAATAGTATCATACCCAGGAAAATCAACCCAATTTATGGCACGCTACACGGTAAGAGCGATAAAAAACATAAATGACTTTGAACAAAATGGAAAATTAGGACACATAGTAACAAATTCAAGATAATACTAATTGCCAAGATCAAAACAAGTCCACTAATAGTCGACCAGAAAAAAAAAAAAAAAAAATTATATATATATATATATATATATATATATATATATATATATATATATATATATATATATATATATATATATATATATATATTTCATTTGCCCATAAAGCACGCGGACTTCTGCATATAATCAACAACCTCACCCTGCCAGGACTCGAACCCACTATCTTAGGTTCACGGCGCCATAAGCTCGATGAACAGGCTTTGTGTGAAATATAACAAAGTCTATGACTGCTTTTAGTGTCCTAGTGGTATAGAGGTAAAGTTCCCCGGTCACACACATAAAATCGTGGGTTCGAGCCCTGTCGAGGTGAGGTTGTTGATTATACAGTATATATATATATATATATATATATATATATATATATATATATATTACATTTGTAACTAACCGGCGATGAATGCTGTAGGTCCTGAAACACGCTTAGTACATCGCCATGGCCTGCTCGTCGTGCCAGGTCAGCAGGAGTCTCGCCAGCCCAGGTCACCACATTATGGTATAAATGATGATATATAAGGTAGTACCGTACCATGGCAATGTTGCCGACCTCTGCCATCCAGTGGAGGATTGTCCGGCCAGAAGCGTCCTGCAGGTGGATACTTGTCGTGAGTGACTGGTTTCCCATATAGGTAGATACCCCGCTGTCCTTGTCTTTGATATCCTTCAGTGCTTCCTCATAATTATTCGCACAGTCCTTCCAATATATTTTCTGCAATCATCAGGAATATTAGTAACCGCACACAATATCAAAAAAATTACATATTTACATCAGGTGATCCTAACAAAGAAGACCACAACCTAATAACTATCACAGACGTGGATATCACTCAGTGAATCGGATGTAATGTACTGTTGATCGTAAAAGTTTGCTCTGGGTCAACAATATAAATTAAGAGAATTTTAGGAGTACAAAAATCAAAACAATATATTTGTATTTTCCACTGGAAAAGGGTATAAATGACGTTTCACATCATTATAGATGAAAATATTTACAGTTCACCACTATCTATTTTAGATACTTTTTATATGAAGATTAATCGTTCCTTACCTGGACAGTAGTCCATTAGCCAACCCCAGGAACTCTAAATTACTCCTTTTTTTATAACTGGCAAAGCGAAACAACGAAAAACAACTTTATTATCTTTACTAAGAATTATTCTATGATCGTAAGAGTCTGGGTGATTATTGTAATCTTTTATAAAGTTTTGATATTGCAGTCTGACTCTGAAGTTTTATTAAATTAGTTCGTATGGAACATATATGATGATTTTTTTTAAGATTTTAGGTTACTTATTTCAGTAACTATAAGTTAAAGAAGTAGTGTTGAATATTGAAGAAAATGTTTAAACACTGAGGAACATCATGGGAACCAATAGTTTCAATTGAACAACAACATTTAGACGTGGCAGCAGTTGCACTTACATACAATTTTGTGGATATAGTTTATTACTGGAACTCGTTTATTAGAGAAGGTAGTTTAATACTGGAGGTGGCTTATGATACGAGTTTATTAGTGGAGGTAGTTTATTAGTGGAGGTAGTTTATTAGTGGAGGTAGTTTATGAGTGGAGGTGGTAAATTAGTGGAGGTGGTAAATTAGTGGAGGTGGTAAATTAGTGGAAGTGGTTTACGAGTGGAGGTGGTTTATTAGTGGAAATGGTTTATCATAGGTAGTTTATTAGAAGAGGTGGTTTATTAGTGGAAGTGGTTTATTAGTGTCAGGGTTTATTAGTGGAAGTGGTTTATCATAGGTGGTTTATTAGAGGAGGTGGTTTATTAGTGGAAGTGGTTTATTAGGGGAGTTAGTGGAGATGGTTTATTAGTGGAAGTGATTTACTAGTAGAGTTGGTTTATTAGTGGAGGTGGTTTATCATAGGTGGTTTATTAGAGGAGGTGGTTTATTAGTGGAAGTGGTTTATTAGGGGAGTTAGTGGAGGTGGTTTATTATTGGAAGTGATTTACTAGTAGAGTTGGTTTATTAGTGGAGGTGGTTTATTAGTGGAGGTGGTTTATTAGTGGAGGTGGTAAATTAGAGAAGGTGGTTTATTAGAGAATGTAGTTTATTAGTGGAGGTGGTTTATTAATAGAAGGTGGTTTATTAGTGGAGGTGGTTTATTAGTGGTGGTGCTTTATAAGTGGAGGTGGTTTATTATAGGAGGTGGTTTATTAAGGAGTTGGTTTATGAGTGGAGGAGGTTAATTAGTGAAGGTGGTTTATTATACGAGGTGGTTTATTAAGGAGGTGGTTTATGAGTGGAGGAGGTTAATTAGTGAAGGTGGTTTATTATAAGAGGTGGTTTATTGAGGAGGTGGTTTATGAGTGGAGGTGGTTAATTAGTGAAGGTGGTTAATTATAGGAGGTGGTTTATTAAGGAGGTGGTTTATTAAGGAGGTGGTTAATTAGTGAAGGTTTATTATAGGAGGTGGTTTATTAAGGAGGTGGTTTATTATAGGAGGTGGATTATTAAGGAGGTGGTTTATGAGTAGGAGGTGGTTTATTAAGGAGGTGGTTTATGAGTGGAGGTGGTTTATTATAGGTGGTTTATTAAGGAGGTGGTTTTTGAGTGGAGGTGGTTAATTAGTGTAGGTGGTTTATTATAGGAGGTGGTTTATTAGGTAGGTGGTCTATTAGTGGAGATGGTTTGTTAGTGGAATTGGTGTATTAGTGGAATTTGTTTATTGGTGGAGGTGGTTTATTAGTGGAGGTGGTCTATTAGAGAAGGTAGTTTATTATAAGAGGTGGTTTATTAAGGAGGTGGTTTATGAGTGGAGATGGTTTAGTAGTGGAGGTGGTTTATTAGTGAAGGTGGTTTATTAGAGAATGTAGTTTATTAGTGGAGGTGGTTTTGGAGGTAGTTTATTAGAAAAGGTGGTTTATTCGTGGAGGTGGTTTATTATAGGAGGTGGTATATTATAGGAGGTGGTTTATTAGTGGAGGTGGTTTATTAGAGAATGTAGTTTATTAGTGGAGATGGTTTATTAGAGAAGGTGGTTTACTGGAGAATGTGTTTTATTAGGGGAGGTGGTTTATTAGTGAAGGTGGTTTATGATACGAATTGGTTCATTAGGTGGAGGTAGTTTATTAGTAGATGTAGTTTATTAGTGGAGGTAGTTTATTAGTGGAGGTAGTTTATTAGTGGAGGTGGTTTATCATAGGTGGTTTATTAGAGGAGGTGGTTTATTAGTGGAAGTGGTTTATTAGGGGAGATAGTGGAGGTGGTTTATTAGTGGAAGTGATTTACTAGTAGAGTTGGTTTATTAGTGGAAGTGGTTTATCATAGGTGGTTTATTAGAGGAGGTGGTTTATTAGTGGAAGTGGTTTATTAGGGGAGTTAGTGGAGGTGGTTTATTAGTGGAAGTGATTTACTAGTAGAGTTGGTTTATTAGTGGAGGTGGTTTATTAGTGGAGGTGGTTTATTAGTGGAGGTGGTAAATTAGAGAAGGTGGTTTATTAGAAAATATAGTTTATTAGTGGAGGTGGTTTATTAATAGAAGGTGGTTTATTAGTGGAGGTGGTTTATTAGTGGTGGTGCTTTATAAGTGGAGGTGGTTTATTATAGGAGGTGGTTTATTAAGGAGTTGGTTTATGAGTGGAGGAGGTTAATTAGTGGGTGTCGGTTATACGAGGTGGTTTATTAGTGGAGGTGGTTTATGAGTGGAGGTGGTTAATTAGTGAAGGTGGTTAATTAGTGAAGGTGGTTTATTATAAGAGGTGGTTTATTAGTGGAGGTGGTTAATTAGTGAAGGTGGTTTATTATAGGTGGTTTATTATAGGAGGTGGTTTATTAAGGAGGTGGTTTATTATAGAAGGTGGATTATTAAGGAGGTGGTTTATGAGTGGTGGTGGTTAATTAGTGAAGGTGGTTTATTATAGGAGGTGGTTTATTAAGGAGGTGGTTTATGAGTGGAGGTGGTTAATTAGTGGAGGTGATTTATTATAGGAGGTGGTTTATTAAGGAGGTGGTTTATGAGTGGAGGTGATTAATTAGTGGTGGTTTATTATAGGAGGTGGTTTATTAAGGAGGTGGTTTATGAGTTGAGGTGGTATTGTAGTGGAGGTAGTTTATTGTAGGAGGTGGTTCATTAAGGAGGTGGTTTATGAGTGGAGGTGGTTAATTAGTGAAGGTGGTTTATTATAGGAGGTGGTTTATTAGGGAGGTGGTCTATTAGTGGAGGTGGTTTATTAGTGGAATTGATTTATTATTGGAATTGGTTTATTAGTGGAGGTGCTTTATTAAAGAAGGTGGTTTATTGGTGGAGGTGGTTTGTTATAGGAGGTGGTTTATTAGTGGAGGTGGTTTATTAGTGGAGGTGGTTTATTGGTGGAGGTGGTTTGTTATAGGAGGTGGTTTATTAGTGGAGGTGGTTTATTAGTGGAGGTGGTTTATTAGAGGTGGTTTATTATAGGTGGTTTATTAAGGAGGTGGTTTATGAGTGGAGGTGGTTTAGTAGAGAATGTAGTTTATTAGTGGAGGAGGTTTTGGAGGTAGTTTATTAGAAAAGGTGGTTTATTCGTGGAGGTGGGTTATTATAGGAGGTGGTATATTTGTGGAGGTGGTTTATTAGAGAAGGTGGTTTATTAGAGAATGTGGTTTATACGTGGAGGTGGTATAATAAAGGGGGTGGTTTATTAGTGTTTGGTAGTTTATTAGAGAAGGTGGTTTATAAGTGTTACGATCTCAAGTATAGAGGGACGAAAAAATGTGCCTGACAGTCTAGGGGAGAACATGGGACTCGTAACAATTCAGATTCGGTCTCAGTATTGTTAGGTATTGCAAGTGCCACTGCATGTTATGACCATCAGGTCTTAAAAGAAATATCCTATTTCTGATAAAGATTAAAACTTATAAAGAAATACAAAAGAAAAAAAACATCACACTTTATGTTACAATAAACAAAATAAAATTAGTACACATCACTTATAAACTATATATACAAATGCCAATACCAGGATCACTACCAATAGAATAACCAATATCACAACCAATACCACCTTGTTACATTTCCACTTATGTGTTTTAGGGAGGAACCGGCTGAAACGTGCTTATAGGGAGAAACAATACACACGGTAGAGAAGGTTGAGAAAATCTATTGTCCCTATCAATACTCAGCCTTCTTTTGTTCTAGGTGAATGGAGTCCCAACAGTCTGCCACACCGAGGACACACACAGGGGTCACCACACCGATGATCACAGCGAATGTCCCAGAGGAGCAGCCAACCTAGGCGGGGAGTAGCTTGTGGCCAACTGGCTCACACCACCCTGCCGGCTTCCCACCAACCTTTGTGAGTGGCGACAGGGATGTTTCGAATAGAGGTGAACCAGGGTTGTTCGTGGTTTCTGCTTCTAGACTTGCACAGAGGGCATAACGACTCCCGGGGTCGTAACATAGGAGAAGGTGGTTTATTAGTGGAGGTGGTTTATTAGTGGAGGTGGTTTATTAGAGAAGGTGGTTTATAAGTGACGGTTTTTTTTTAGTCGAGGTGGTTTATTAGTGAAGGTAGTATAATATAGAAGATGGTTTATTAGTGGAGGTGGTTTATTAGAGAAGGTGGTTTATTAGTGGAGATGGTTTATTAGAGAAGGTGGTTTATAAGTGATGGTGTTTTTTTTAGTCGAGGTGGTTTATTAGTGAAGGTAGTATAATATAGAAGATGGTTTATTAGTGGAGGTGGTTTATTAGAGAAGGTGGTTTATAAGTGACGGTGTTTTTTTTAGTCGAGGTGGTTTATTAGTGAAGGTAGTATAATATAGAAGATGGTTTATTAGAGAAGGTGGTTTATAAGAGAAGGTGGTTTATTAGAGAAGGTGGTTTATAAGAGAAGGTGGTATATTAGAGAAGGTGATTTATTAGATAAGGTGATTTATAAGAGAAGGTGGTTTATTAGTCGAGGTGGATTATTAGAGAAGGTGGTTTATAAGAGGTGGATTATTATGGAGGTGGTTTGTTAGAGGAGGTGGTGTATTATAGGAGGTGCTTTATATATATATATATATATATATATATATATATATATATATATATATATATATATATATATATATATATATATATATATATATATATATATATATATATATATATATATTATTCACTAAGGCCTTCCTCCAATGATGCTGCAGATTTTCTATGGTGTTCCGTTTCAGTTTCTCTATTTCATCCTCTAATTTTCAAGTTCATTAAATCCCTTTCATTTTTACCCCAAAAATTTCTTTCTACAAGTAGCTTTTAAACTCTAACCTTTCTGTTCTCATTAAGAGAACCAGATACGACCTACAATCTTTCCTTGTTCAAATTTTATTTCCAATTGTTTAAATAAAACATAAGATAATTGATTCCTGACAATATCATATAGGTTGATATCCATGCCTTGGGCGATGTTGAAACCAAATTACTGTATAAATAGACAGTGGCGGGAAAGGTAATTTTTGTCTTCTGGCTTATGAGATCATTCCAATTACAGAAACAATATATGTAGGGGGTAGAGAAGAGACCCTCTCCAGATAGTTCACATCTCACACCCAGGGTACACAAACTTCACGACCAACCACTACTTATAATAAAGATAGATTACACTCTTGTGGGCGTGATTGCTCTATCTACAACACGGGGTAACAGGGTTATTAAGAGAAAGAGGTACAGTACTGACATACCTGTGTCGGTGCTTGAAGAAAGCAACTTACCATTAAGTCTAGAGTTGGTTTCTCAGCAGCAGGTCCGTGGCATGGCAGTTTCCTGAGCCACCACTCCACAAGTTCATGACCTGCCAGTCTTGCAAGATCCAAGGGTGTTTGTCCCAATTTGTCCTTGGCACTAAGGTCGAGGCCAGCCTCCACGAGGTGTTGCGTTACCTCCAAACTTCCATTCGATGTTGCATGGTGTAGCGCTGTGCGGACGGTGTTATCCACGGCATGACGGTCACAGAGTTCACGCCTGAGTAATTGCTTCACAGCACGTATATTGTTGCATATGGCAGCATGGTGCAATGGTCGAACCCCACCACCACCCTTAGAGTTAATGTCAGCATTGGCATCAAGAAGAGTCTTCAAACATGATTCATTATCCTTATATGTTGCTATATGTAGGGTGGTCCAACCTGTACCAAAATCCAGCAAATCTTACATGTTGATAAATCCATTGTTGATTTTTTTTTTTTTACGGGCATTAGCCCACCCGAGCACAAGTCACTGACCCACATCGGGGCTTGAAGGGTGGAAATATAATAATGATAATATAATAATAATAATAATATGTAACGAATGAAAACTAAGAGTAGAATTAATAGTAAGAAGTTATTAGTTGTAGGATTGTAAAGTGAAGAAAGTTTGGTAGCGAGGCCGATTATTTATTTAACTGTATATTAATATATTCTTACGGGAAATCTTTCTAAACACCTCTTCCAAGTACAGCTATTTATTATTCAAATCAACTGCATGTACACATTAATAGATCATTATATTTACGTTACTAGACAATGACTCTCACACACAAACATGAAATGGATACACTTCCCACCGTAAGCAACTCACCCTAATGGATCTGTCTGACAATGACTCACGTGTGACCTGAGGGAGGCCAGGAGGCTGGGGGATGTCTGTAGGTGCTGCTGGACTCTATCTTCTGTGGGAGACTCTGCTAGCTGGAGACTCGGTGCTGGGGAGGTAAGTCTCCCTCCCGACCTCGACTTGTGACGAGCGTAACTCTGAGTTCTGTCTCGCCCTGTCTGACTGGGAAGGAGCTGTTAGCCCCTTCCCTATTACAATAGTAATGTTCGAATGCCTGGTGAGGAGCTACAGGCTTCTTACATTGGAGGAGAGACGGCAGATGACCTCTCCTAATTAACACTAAACTGGTTAGATCTGGACAGCTGTGTTTGTCCAGGTGTGTGGTCAATGTAGCTTATCATGGATCGCCGGTCGGCAATGCTTCCTGATTATTACCACCCGGGTGTGTCTTGGGGGATACGGACAAAAACCCCACCGGACAAAATCCCCTAGAACAAAAACCCCAGTATAAAATCCCCACCAGACAAAAAACCCCACCGGACAAAATTCCCTAGGACAAAAGCCCCACCCCTACCGGACATAAACCCCACATAGTAAAATACAATTGATCGTGGTCACTTCGTGCCTGGTGGCGAGTCCGGTGGTACAGTTTACCAAAGCGTGAAAGTTCGAACGCTCGTGCTTGGCTTGGGCGCAACCGCCGGAAGGCTAACAGAGTACAGCGACATCGTTTTCCAGCGTAAATAAAATGGTAAATTAATGCCTTCTTCAGGAATCCTTCGACATGGGACCAGGTTTGTTACACTCCACGAATTTTTTTGCGATTTTTCCACCAAGTTTGATGAAAAACGATTGTGAAGTTTCGGCTGTCCAGAACAGACCCATACACAGACACAAGGCTATTCCTATAGTTTATGAGATAATCATGGTCGTGGTTGTTATAATCATGGTCGTGGTTGTTATAATCATGGTCCTGGGTGTTATAATCATAGTCGTGGTTGTTATAATCATGGTCCTGGGTGTTATAATCATAGTCGTGGTTGTTATAATCATAGCCGTGGTTGTTATAATCATAATCGTGGTCGTGGTTTTTATAATCATGGTCGTGGTTGTTATAATCATGGTCATGGTTGTTATAATCATAATCATGGTTGTTATAATCATGGTCGTGGTTGTTATAATCATGGTCGTGGGTGTATAATCATAGTCGTGGGGTGGGTGTTATAATCATGGTCGTGGTTGTTATAATCATGGTCGTGGTTGTTATAATCATAGTCGTGGTTGTGGTTGTTATAATCATAGTCGTGGTTGTTATAATCATGGTCGTGGTTGTTATAATCATGGTCGTGGTTGTTATAATCATAATCGTGGTTGTTATAATCATGGTCGTGGTTGTTATAATCATAGTCGTGGGTGTTATAATCATATTCGTGGTTGTTATAATCATGGTCGTGGTTGTTATAATCATAATCGTGGTTGTTATAATCATGGTAGTGGGTGTTACAGTCGTAGTCGTGGTAGTTATAATCATGGTTATGATCATGGTCGTAGTTGTCATAATCATGGTTGTGGTTATGATCATGGTCGTAGTTGTTATAATTATGGTCGTGGGGGTTATAATCATCGTCTTGGTTGTTATAATCATAGTCGTGGTTATGATCATAGTCGTGGTTGTAATAATCATGGTCGTGGGTGTTATAATCATGGTGGTGGTTGTTATAATCATAGTTGTGGGTGTTATAATCATGGTCGTGGGTGTTATAATCATGGTGGTGGTTGTTATAATCATAGTTGTGGGTGTTATAATCATGGTCGTGGTTGTTATAATCATGGTCGTGGGTGTTATAATCATAGTTGTGGTTGTTATAATCATGGTCGTGGGTGTTATAATCATGGTCGTGGTTGTTATAATCATGGTCGTGGGTGTTATAATCATAGTCTGGTTGTTATAATCATGGTCGTGGGTGTTATAATCATGGTCGTGGTTGTTATAATCATGGCCGTGGGTGTTATAATCATAGTCGTGGTTGTTATTATCATGGTCGTGGGTGTTATAATCATAGTCGTGGGTGTTATAATCATCGTCGTGGTTGTTATAATCATAGTTGTGGGTGTTATAATCATAGTCGTGGTTGTTATAATCATGGTCGTAGGTGTTATAATCATGGTCATGGTTGTTATAATCATGGTCGTGGTTGTTATAATCATAGTTGTGGGTGTTATAATCATAGTCGTGGTTGTTATAATCATGGTCGTGGGTGTTATAATCATGGTCGTGGTTGTTATAATCATAGTTGTGGGTGTTATAATCATAGTCGTGGTTGTTATAATCATGGTCGTGGTTGTTATAATCATAATCTTGGTTGTTATAATCATGGTCGTGGGTGTTATAATCATGGTCGTGGGTGTTATAATCATGGTCGTAGTTGTTATAATCATGGTCGTGGGTGTTATAATCATAGTCGTGGTTGTTATAATCATAATGTACGTTATAATCATAATCTTGGTTGTTATAATCATAGTTGTGGGTGTTATAATCATAGTCGTGGTTGTTATAATCATGGTCGTAGGTGTTATAATCATGGTCATGGTTGTTATAATCATGGTCGAGGTTGTTATAATCATAGTTGTGGGTGTTATAATCATAGTCGTGGTTGTTATAATCATGGTCGTGGGTGTTATAATCATAGTCGTGGTTGTTATAATCATAGTCGTGGTTGTTATAATCATAATCTTGGTTGTTATAATCATGGTCGTGGGTGTTATAATCATGGTCATGGTTGTTATAATCATGGTCGTGGTTGTTATAATCATATCGGTTGTTATAATCATAGTCGTGGCGTTATAATCATAGTTGTGGTTGTTATAATCATAATCGTGCTGTTATAATCATGGTCGTGGGTGTTATAATCATGGTCATGGTTGTTATATAATCATAGTCGTGGTTGTTATGAATCATAGTCGTGGTTGTTATAATCATAGTCGTGGTTGTTATAATCATAATCGCTGTTATAATCATGGTCGTGGGTGTTATAATCATGGTCATGGTTGTTATAATCATGGTCGGTTGTTATAATCATAGTCGTGGTTGTTATAATCATGGTCGTGGTTGTTATATTCATGGTCGTGGTTATTATAATCATGGTCGTGGTTGTTATAATCATGTGCGTGGTTGTTATAATTATGGTCGTGTTTATGATTATGGTCGTAGTTGTTATAATCATGGTCGTGGGGGTTATTATTACCGTCGTGGTTGTTATAATCATAGTCGTGGTTATGATCATTGTTGTGGTTATGATCATGGTCGTGGTTGCTATAATCATGGTCGTCGTTGTTATAATCATGGTCGTGGTTGTTATATTCATGGTCGTGGTTATTATAATCATGGTCGTGGTTGTTATAATCATGGGCGTGGTTGTTATAATTATGGTCGTGGTTATGATCATGGTCGTAGTTGTTATAATCATGGTCGTGGGGGTTATAATCACCGTCGTGGTTGTTATAATCATAGTCGTGGTTGTTATAATCATTGTCGTGGTTATTATCATGGTCGTGGTTGTTATAATCATGGTCGTGGTTGTTATAATCCTTGATCGTGGTTGTTATAATCATTGTCGTGGTTATGATTATGGTCTGTTAGTTCTGTTATAATCATGGTCGTGGTTGTTATAATCATGGTCGTGGTTGTTATAATCATGATCGTGGTTGTTATAATCATTTGTCGTGGTTATGATCATGGTCGTGGTTGTTATAATCTCACCGTCGTGGTTCATTATAATCATAGTCGTGGTTGTTATAATCATTGTCGTGGTTATGATCGCGGGTATTGGTTGTTATAATCATGGTCGTGGTTGTTATAATCATGATCGTGGTTGTTATAATCATTGTCGTGGTTATGATCATGGTTGTGGTTGTTATAATCATGGTCGTGGTTGTTATAATCATGGTCGTGGTTGTTATAATCATGATCGTGGTTGTTATAATCATTGTCGTGGTTGTTATAATCATGGTCGTGGTCGTGATACTATAAGAAGGAATAGAATAAAGGTTAGAATAATTAATTAAAGAAATATTCGCCATAAGGAGAGGTTAAAATCATAAAAAAAAATATTATGAATCACCGATGATCATTCGGAGATAAATTATATTATGAAGAGAAGTGACCTTGATTCTGGTTATGATAGTCACCTGTGTTAAGTCATCATAGTCATCATCTACGTTAGTCAGTTTTAGGCCCATCTCACATAACTGACCGACCATCGATGTTCTTTCCGCGCGAGGGTGTTAGTTTTCAACGTCTTATTATTTACGCTGGTGGATGTAAGACCTCCTACCCTCACTGACGCAGCTATGGTCAATTTGGTGTTATTCTTGTTTATAAATGCCTTCTAATCTGTCTCAAGTCTATCCGTCCTGTCTATTGCCATCCCAACTGTCTGTTCGTCTGCGTGGTGTTTGAATGTAAGCCCGTCTGTACTCTTTGTGTCGTCAAATCTGTCTGTCTTATCCGTTGTTGGCGTGTGTCTGCCTGTTTGTGTAATGTGAACCAGTCAGTCAGCTGTCTGTCTGTCATGTTAGTTGCCATATTGTC